ATATATATATATAGTTTTTATTTTAGTTTTAGTATTTTAGGGATATCCAAGTTAATATGCTAAATGGTGTAATTTAAAACCAGTTTAAAGGTGTTAAATTTCTCAGAAATGTTATAATATGCCATGCAATTAAATTTAAATGAATTTATGCCTATTTTTATTTCATTGTAGTTTCTTTGGGGGTCATGAAAATGTATTAAAGCTTTTTTTCTCAGTAATGTTTTAAAATTAATTAATTAATGGACATAGTATATTAGATATAATTAGTATATAGTGTATTTATTATAGCTGATCTACACCCACTTATAAGCATCAACTTCTGTTTATGTGTGATAATGTGTAATTGGTCTTCATTAAGATCTATTTCCTTTCTATCTCTCTACTGCGTTTGTTGTTGTTTAATTTATTTAAAGTATAAATAAGGTAAAAATATATAGAAATACTTTATATATAAAGTATAAACAAAGCATAAAATATCATTTCAGAGTACTGTGATGTTTGCTGTACTCACCTCTGAGCTGCAACCTCTGTTTTGTTTTTGCAGAGAGACATGCTGGACGTCAATCAGATTATGAAGGACTTGGCCAGCATGGTGCATGAACAAGGAGACACCATAGGTGAGATCTTATTTGTGTGTGTATCTGTGTGTGTGTGTGTGTGTGTGTGTGTTCGTGGCTCTGTGTTTCCAGTTAAGAGTCTATTGACTCATCCTTGTTTGTCTGGCCTTTTATTGATAATCACTTCTCCCCCCATATCCATCCCGTAATCCCCTGCTGTGCTGAGGTGAAGTTTCAGAGGGGAGAACAAGACATCACCTTCACCAGCTCAATACATGACAGACAGAGAGCTAGTCTCTACAGGCCTCTGGAGGAGACTAAGATCAGAGAAGATCCTCAAAGATTCAATTTATAGTTAACAGGCAGAGAAAGACAGACCGATATTAAACGGGAAGCATGATTTAGGAGCTGAGTCACTGGTTACATGCAGAAAGCAGGGATAATAGTGTTGTTGCTTACTTGTTTGGAAAATGTTTAGCCTAAACCTTTGACATTTTATCTTGGACACGTCAGCAGTCATGACCTGTCAGTTAAATTTATGAAACCAAGCTGAATACAATCAAACTAGAAAACATTTATTTTATTTTATTTTATTTTATTTTATTTTATTTTATTTTATTTTATTTTATTATTTTATTTTATTTTATTTTATTTTATTTTATTTTATTTTATTTTATTATTTTATTTTATTATTTTATTTTATTTTATTTTATTTTATTTTATTTTTGTATAGTCAGTATTTGATATTTATTTTAAAATTCTAATTTCTCCTATTTTTATATTTAGATTATGTTTTCCATTATATAACACCCAAATCATAAAATTAATAAAATATTTTAAAATATTAAAATTAACTTTCATACTGACCATTATGACACTGAGATGCTTAAATTCACTTGATTTTAGTTTTTAGTGTTTTATTTAGAATTTATTTATGAATACTAGTATAGAATAGAAATAATACAAATTGATTTTAATATCAGCCAACATCAAAACAATTTTTGGCCTTTCTGTATGAGCAAGAATTTTAATATCAGTGGATCTTTAGTGATAAATATTACTGTAAATGGAAATGCTGTATCCTTAACGTTTCTCAAATATTGGGGGCGTGAACCATTACTATGTGGCCCTGCCCACATGCTATGATGTCACACATCAGCATTTATAGTTTTATTTATTTATTTATTTTTGCCTTTTCTGTGCTGAAATATAAATGAAACTGTATGAAAGTCACATGGTTTTCAAAAGATATGAGGGTGAGTAAATGAATTTTTAGGTCTATCCTTTTAAGATTTTTCAGATTTTACATTTATTGCACATTAGTATTTAATTTGCCTCAGTTAATAAATTGCATGTGATTGAAAACTTCAAATATAAAATATTTTATAGAGCTGAATATGAAATGGTTACATAAGATCAGAGACCCTTAGCCGTGGCCTCTCTGTTGGAAAATGCCCATTCCTGTTCTAATTGGTACTCATCCAGCACAGTGTCCTTTCGTCCGGCTGTTTTAATTAATCCTGTGTGTACTGTACATTCAACAGGCCAGATGAGTAAAGATACTATTCCTTCAGGAGAGGTTAAGGACGTGCTTTGCATATTCTTCATCCTAATTTAACACCCTCACAGTCACAATACAACAGCAGCTCAAGGGAAAAGGAGAGAAAATGGAGGAGTTACACAATAAGGAAGGAGTTCACAAGAGAAAAGGGAGATTGAAACTTTCCTTGTCCCCAACTTCCTTCCTCGCACGGACACTTAACATTTACACAGGGAAATGATGTCAGACACGTTGAAGGTTATCACAAGTTATGACTAGCGAAATAACCAGAATCTAGTGGGACACACAATATACAATAAACCACCCAATAACGCTGTTCTGCCCTTTAGAAGGACACTTGAGGATGTAGGTCTATATTTTGTTTTGTTTTCATCTATGCCTTTTTTGGGTCTTCTCATTATGCTACATGCATTACGATTTTCATATTATTTAATTTATTTTATCACCTTCTGGTTTCTCTTCCCCTGTAAACTTTGTTTAAAAGATGATTCATTTGTCCAAACCCAAGCCTATCTAGTCTACTTTTTTAGGTATTCCTGATACTTTTCCACAAAATTATGCCAAGATATCTAATCTTGACCACTCTGCAGGGCAAAATCGCTTATACAATTTGTTGATAAGTCAATACCAGAATGCATCGTGTTGAGGTCTGTTTATTCAAACATTCATAATTATTCATTTAACTATGACAGAGCTAACAAAGGAAAATGTTTGATTATATTTTATTAGACATATTTTATATTCCTATTTCGTATTTTACATACGGAAAATAATAGGAAGCTTCATCCAATTAAAAATTACATTTCACCCAACTTTGCCGTTAGAAATGCTATTTTGCTATTAGAAACAATTGTGAAATTAGTCAAATGTTGCACATCACATAATGAGTGATTCTGGTATACATGTAGAATTCTTAATTTCAGTCTGTTATGTGCAGGGTTGTTAGCATTAAGTAAAATTAAAAATCATTACTTGAAAAAAAAAAAATAATAATAATAATTTATTTAACTTATTACTTATTTTATTTCCTTGCCAAGGCAACATTTCTCTGTACAGTTTAGGTATAAAGTACTAAAATAACCAAAACTAAATAAACTAAAAACTTAAATGTAATACTATATAAAAAATATAAGATATATTTAAAAAAAAAATTAAAATGACAAAAAGCACAACATAATTGTGCTTTTAACAAATTACTAAAACTTGAACTAAAATGAAAATAAAAGCAGAAAATATATAAAAAAAACTCTAATTCAAAATATTAACAAAAACTATATTAGTATACCAAAATAACACTGATTATGAGTTTCCACTTTAGTTGCCTAATTAGACAGTTCACAACAAGTTTTGAAGTCAGCCACATACTGAAAGTTTTCATGAAAATAAAGCCACTCAACTCATACTACGTTCTCTGTTTCAACACACTGAGCACATGCAAGGTCTGAATGGGGGGATTTAGGACATGTGTGCCCCTCCAACTCTCATCTTTCATATCCCAAAGATTTGATTTTTCCCTTTAAAGCCACAGATTAAGAATGAAATGAAAGCTGCTATTCTTCATGTGGTCGTGATATGTTTCTGGAGATATGCCCTCTTGCAGAGTCACTCTCTTAGACCATGATTTTGAAGTGTGTGAGATTGTTTACAGCAACATATGCACATGCAAACATTTCATAAATGCCTATCAGAAAACTATATTGGCGTTTGGAAAACAACATCCAGGCGTGATGTTTTCAAGAGGTCTTCCTTGTAGGGTTGCAAGGCCAGAACAAAAGCCTGTTCTGTTTTGCTCAGAGTCCATTAGAGTTTAAAGAGCCTGAAATAGAAGTGGCTAAATTGCTCTTTGCCTTTGTATCCAGGATGTTTATTAGGAGGTGGATGTGAATAAAGTCTCTGTGGATAGCCGTGATTGGAGGGGTGGAGTTAGGACAGAGGAGGCAAGTAAACTGATGCAGGAAGTTTGGATTTGTGCTTTTAGCACAGCCTTATGGAAAGGTGAGCTTTATGATAAAGCCAGAAAAAAGTCGTGACACGTACCTGAATGAAACGGGTCGTGCTGTGCTATTAGTTTTCCAGTGACAAAAGTACATGCAAAAAACTGTTATTTTAAAAAAAGGTTTTTTTTACTATATATATATGTGTGTGTGTGTGTGTGTGTGTGTGTGTGTGTGTGTGTGTGTGTATATAGTTATAAACATTTATTTATTATTATTTTTTTAATTATTTATTTATTTATCATTTATTGAAATCATGTTAAATTTGTGAAGTATATTTAATTTGCATTGGGATTACATGAATAATTTTCATTGGTCATAATCAAATGCATGGAAATACTGATCCAGACAGTTGGAAAAGGATTCAAATTGTATTATTATTATTATTATTATGCCTATGAAATTTATTTAGTACACTACTATATTAAAATATAGACATTTATTTATGTCTTGTATGCCAGGTAAAAAGCTCAATAGCCAATATTTAGTGAAAACTGTATGATAAATTATATATAAATTGTATTGTAATTTGTTTGTCAGTTTGGCAAATTCGATTGACCAACTTGAACATGAGCAAAATCTCATGAACTTTTTTTTTCATCACACGAAATTCTCGATCGCACAGACTCCTATTAAAATTATTTTGCCCACAAAATTTTGCAGAGCAGCAGGAGATGCGACTGCACCTTTAAAGTAGCATGACGATGTTAGCATGACTAAATTAAGTTTATTCATATTATTTTAAATATAGAAATTTGTTTAATTGTTCATCTCGTGCTGTGTCGTGCATGTTACTTCCATGTTAGCCTTTCCTCAAGGGTGCTTGTATTGTGTGCCACAGCTGTCTAACACCGTAGTCAGCACTGGTGCCGTTCTGTTTATTTACTGCTTTAGCAATGCTTAAGGTTATCTGTGTACATAGTGTGTCTATTAATTCTGTAAAGAGGTGATATGATTCTGTGGCTATGAATGCTAAATTATGTTTCAGACTAATTGGGTGTTTGTTTTACAGCTCAGCTTTGTGCCTCCCTAATTGGTTGATTCTTTAATTATTTCTAGCCTAATGTTTTCAGGAGAATTCACTGTGCGCACGTGCGTGTGTTCGAGTCAGTAGTGACCAACTGAGGAGTCTCTAGATAAGAGCTCGTCAAGCCTGTTCATTTAGAGTCATTATAACGTATGTCCCTGTAATTCTTCGATGAATTGAGGATGATGGAAATTAAAAAAGCAACCATTGCATTGTGTTTACAGAGGCTGTTTGCCCATGTTTGGCAGTCGATAAGGTTATATTACACAGAGCAGGACTCTGCATATAAAAAGCTGAATTAAAAGAGGAACAAGAGCTGGTGTGATTCAGCTAGTTTAAAGCACAAACAGTACTGGCCTTTTTGGACCCCAGTTTTACACACTTCATCTGCAGTCATCTGTTTGCAGCTGAGCTAGTTATGCATTATGGTTAATGGTACATCTTTTATCAATTGTTTAAGACATTTTGTTTAGTTAGTGAATTAAAAATGAAACCAAACAATAGTTATGTTCCAAAATCTAGCTTACTTAGCAAAACCTGCTTAGCTAGACAATGTTTTTGAGCTTTATCCTGAGGTGAAGCCAGCTTGAAACAATATGTAGCGTAATTATGTTGGCGTATAAGATAACACATACTTTGTGGATAATAAGACAATCCCAGAACTCGCTGTGACAAGAAAGTTTTAGAAAGGTTTGGCCTTTCTAAAGGCTAAAACCTATGGAGTCTATGGAAATATCAAATACTTTTTATTTGGAACTGAAACATTTTAATTGATACAAATATATAATCTTAAACTGATTGTTCACAAAATATTTGTGTGCTATATTTTTGTATTTCTAGAGTATCAAGTCATTAGCCTAGCGTTGGTAACATCAGATACAATCATTATGTCTAACAGTCATTATGTCTAAATTGATTTTCAACAATAATGCATGAACTGTTCAAGACAAGTAAAAAAAAAAAAAATCCTATGGCATTTTATTTAAAATACATTTATTGCATACTTCAAATCCATTATTTATTAACGTATCACTTAAGACTGATTAATATAAAATTATAATGAAACTTTATTTGGAGTTATCTTTATTGTACAATGCACATTTCTTAATATTATTCCTAAAATGTATTTGAAATACATTTATTTTTTGCTAAGTATACTACAAATACATTTACATATTTATGTATTAATAATAATAAAAAACCTGCAATTGTACTTTTGGTATACTAAACTGGTATACTTTAAGTCTGCTAAACTGGAACAACTCATTTTGTGCTTAATGCATTTTAATTGTGCGGAAGTAGTGCTGAATTCCAACTAAAGATATACTGCAGTATATGTGATTTTTATGCTTAAAAATATATTCACTAGGGAAACCTACCATGACTTGTTAAGCGATTGTATGTGGTGCTGTAGAATCCATAAATGAGTGTTTTTAACTTATTTTTGTTTTAATATTTTTTTTATTTGAGAAGAGAGGCAGCCAATCAGAGATGTTGCTGTTATTATTCAAACAAAGCACCAAGAAAAAAGAAGAAGCCAACAGCACTTAAAAGTGACCGCCCATTCACATGAAGCATTGCAGCATATCCCTGAACTATCAAATATTTGTAAATATTTTAATATTTTGCACAAAATATAATTTATAATCAGTGACTATAAGTAAATAGTTTAATATCATTTCAGCTGCAATCTGCAATGCTTTATGGGACATAATTAACCATTCTCTCCCTAAAATAATTTAAATGTCCGGTCTGATTTTTCAAGTATTCTTTGCTTAAAATCAATTTGTAATTTTATATTCAGAGTTGTTTGGTTTGGTTCCTGGCCTAACACTCTTTTTAGCAGAATATTTTGACATTTCTATGGGGGGAAATTAATTGGGAAGAATCCTTCTGTATCCAACGCTGTTGAAAAAAAATGGGTGGCCACCATGGAGCTCTATTGAAATCATCTGAATCTCTTGTGCGCTTCATGTGAGAAGTCATTTGTGCCATGTACATGAGTGACAGTTTACAGAGTTGCAATGAAAAGTGCTTCAAATCATTCGCTTATAAAGTTCCATTACAGTTGGGATGCTGCTGTAGAAAATAGCTGTTTTTGTAGACCGTAAACAGTGAGGTGACTTTTGGAACAGCGTCGCTCAAGAGCTTTGATAAAAATCCATTTAGAATGTCTTTTTGACACAAGTGACACTAATAAGAGGTTGGTTGCCCTGTGGGGTGTGTTTAGCAGACATGGCTGATGATTCATCAAGCACAGGGCCTTCTTTTCAGTTTCGCTATTGAAATATTGATTGATAAGTCTCCGTATGATGTCTCATCTCCCTTCAGTGTTTCTAAATCAGCCATTTCTCATTTCCACCCAGATTCTCTGTGCCTATATTGGTAGTAGATGACAGGCCAGTAGTCTCAGATGGAGACAGAAGAAATGTTCACGCTGGGAAGGTTATATTGGTCACTGGAGTAGATACTGAGCGTTTTCTGAATACCGTGCGGCCCACGCACGCTTTCAGATATTGCTTTGTGTAAACTTTGGTTTGTTTGTTCCCGTCTGAAACAATCGAGACCATATTCTTGCTATTTTTCACTTTTGTGACTCAATGAATCTCGTTGATCAGGCACCTCCACCTGAGAACGGGCTTGTGATAACAAGAACTAAACGGGGAACTATGATGTGGTACAACAGCTCCTACAGGTTTAATTATACCAGAGAGCAACTGCGCTCCACCCAGCTCATTTAAAACGGGCAATTTAGCTGTTACCAGAAATAGAAAGAAACATGGGGTTGAGATGAATCCGAGTCAGGAAGGTGGGATGAAAGATTACAAGTTGATAGCATGTTGGAGCTCTTGTTAATCCTTTAAAATTCCATCTAACAGAATGATGGATTAAAAAATAGAGAAAATATACACTTATAGACAAATACACTTTCCCACACAGGTTTCCAGCTACTTTCCATGCAAACCCTCCCCTTCCACATCTCATGGTGACGGCGGAGACCAGCACCAAATCAAATCAGAGAAAGATAAACAAAACCTCATTAGTTCCTCCAGCTAGGCGGAGGTGAGGTCTACAGTGTTCCCCTCAGCTGAGCCTGCCCTGCTTTAACCCCACTGTAACTTTCCCGCTTCTGCTTTCGTTCTGCTCTCTTGTGTGGTGAACCGCACATTTGTTTTTAATTGGGAAGGGAATTGACTTTGCATTTGAATCAATGCTCTCACTTGCTAGTATAAGTACATGTGCATTGGAACAAGACAACTCATTTGGATTATTCAAAGTTAATAATTGGCTGACTTTCCTGCGAATTAAGGAAGCAAGGACATAACCGAGTCTTTGTGTGTTTCTAGCTGATTATCATACAGTATGTGTGTTTCTAAGCACAATTCTCTGCGGAAAATGTCTTTTTGTCATGAATTTCTGAACAGAATATTAGCTAATCTTCTTTTGGTACCGTGAGAGATGTCACAACTATTTGTATATGCTTTTATACTAGATATTGCCTAATACACAAATGGTCTATAACCATTAAAATATATTTAAAGTACTTTCACAGATTTTTTTTTTTTCTTTTAATAAAAATTATTTCACAGACCAATAATGCAGTAAATGCTTCCTAAAACAATGTAGAATTGAGTCTTAATAATCCATGGGCACAAGTGCATCCTGTTTATGAAAGACTAATTATTTTAATGGAGAGCATATAATTATAATTCACCTAAAAATGAATAGTCTGCCATTATTTGCTCATCTTCATATGACACCAAAACAATTTCTGTTTTCAGTTCTGTTGTAGTAATTGAATGCAATGCATTATTTAAGATTAAAAAAAAGATTACCAGTGAATAATGACTTAAATTTGGACTGTTTCCCACACAAACGTATCATATGGCTACTTTTTTAATGTTTATTTTTATTAAATTAATATTTATTGGATAATTATTTAATAAATCCTATAATTTCTATATTAATATTTAATTTGATCATTTTATCATATTGCTTCTTTTGGCCCTTAACAGTCCATGATTTCTTTGAATGATGTTGTGTGGCATCTATACTGAAAATAAATAAATAAATAAATAATAGCATGCAGGTTTGGAACAATATGAGGGTGAGTAAATAATGGCATTTTTTAAATTCTTGTCATGAACGCAAACAAGGTTTCAGTGAATAACAACTTAAACTTGGGCTGTTTCCCAAACAAAGTTATCATATGTCTTCAGAACGTTTTTTTTATATATATTTATTATACTGATATTTTATTAAAGTATTTATTTAATAATTTGTCTTTTTATATTAATATTTATTTTTTGAATTCATTTTATCATTATATTTTAATTTTATTATATTATATTAATTCAATAATATTTTATCCTTTTAATTCAATTTTATAATTTTATGTTATTTATTTTGGCCCTTAACAGTCCCTAATCACTATGAACTATGTTGTTGTATGGCATCGCTACAGAAAAAATAATAGCATGTAGGTTTGGAACAAAATGAGGGTGAGTAAATAATAACAGAAATTTCATTTTTGGCCGAACTCTTTCTTTCAACATGGTCTTTTGTGATGATGGTGTGTAGGGGACCACAAAATGCAGTGCAGCTTCAGTTTTTGGCAGCATCAACATTTTGCTCTGTTGAGGGCACTTTGCTCTCTAATCTCTTTCTCCCTGGGAAAGGGAACATGAATGAGAGAGTGGGCATGTTTATAAAGGTGCTCTGGTACACTGTGTGCTTGGACAATCTTCTTTTTTTTGTGAGTGTGTATGAGTGAGTCACACATTCTCTCATGAAGTTTAAGGTTTCATGTATATGGGCTGAAAATCATCTCTGACAGAACATCCTGAACGCATTGTAACATTTTGTACATCAAAACACGATGATGACAACAACAATAACAATGCTTGTTTTCTCTCTTTACAGACAGCGTTGAAGACTACATTCAGACCACCTCATCACACGTGGAATCAGCCAATCAGGAGCTTGCAAAAGCCAGTCATTATCAGGTATGTTATTGACTTATTGGAAAGCTATTGCTTTGATAGCTGCATTAAGGTACACAAAAAGCAGTTTGGTATGTAAACAGAGTCTCTCTGAAACAGTCTTTGAACACAATTATTGTAGCAGGTTTGTTTATTAGTTTCAGTTGACATCACACAGTGAGATTTTCAACATGCTGTCATTCATTAGCTGCTCACTTCAGTAATCACCCTTCACCAATTACCTGACGGGTAGACCATAAGCCCATTTGAAAATTAAAATGTGTCATTGATTGTTCTCAAGCTCTGTTTGAGTATTAAGTATTGTGTGTGTGTAGAAACAAAATGGCTGTATTACAACTTTGTTTGCTCTGATGCCATGCATGTCATAATTGGCACAGTTAGTGGACTTTTTGTAATCAAAAATGACTTTCATTCAAAATATTTCTGTCATGACAACTCTTGGAGTGTTTAGCATGGTAACAGACATTGCAATGTTAATGTGTTTGGTCTTGGTGGAATAGATCTGCTATGCTGCTGCTGCTGTGGCAGAGCAAGTACAGAGACTTGCTACTGCAAATACATCCACAGATATGCTGCTGTGAGCATGTAGGATATACTGCTGCTGCACATAGGGCATATATGAAATAGTCCCTGTGTATAACTTACATGAAATTACCCTGTAGCAGATCTATACAGGTGGAGCTGGGGAAGGTGGAGGATTTCTGAAATGCGCTGCAACTGCTGCAGCAAGCACTAGCCACGTATTTGAATGTTGAGCAGCAAGCTCATTGGCTGCTGATGTGAAAAGAAAGCTTCCCCATATGAATGATGATGTAATTAGATCAGATTGAGTTCGAACTTGTCGGCTTGCACCATCTAGAGTTTCATGACAGAACTTGGTATTTATTTCAAACCTATGTTGCTAGTGCCAATTTCAGCTTTAACATGATGGATCCAAACTCTGATACATATGATAAATTAGTTATTAAATGTGCAGTAATACACTTTGCCTTTTGTGTTGCCGCATTTTATTGCTCATTGAACAAGTTTAGACAATTGTTATCTTAATTTGTGTCACCTAAGAGATGGAAAGGTAGTGATAGAGGTAAAAAAGGACATAATTAAAATAGTCCATGTGACATCAGTGGTTCAACCGTAATGTTATGAAGCTGCAAGAATACTTTTTGTGTGCAAAGAAAACAAAAATAACAACTTTATTCAACAATTTCTTCTCTTCCATGTCAGTCTTCGACGCTCGTTCATGAGAGTACCACAATGCATCAGTGTGGTGCTGCTGACACAGGAGCCGGCGTTCTATTTTCTTTTCTATTTTCTATTTTCTTTGCGCACAAATAGTATTCTCGTAGCTTCATAACATTATGGATGAACCACTGATGTCACATGGACTGTTTTAATGATGTCCTTACTACCTTTCTGGGCCTTAAACGTGTTAGTTGCGTTGCTGTCTATGCATCATATCAAAAATATTTTACCATACTTATGCTTTGACTTTTTTTTTATTTATTCCTGTCTGATTAGAGCAGTTGGTGTTTAAATGTGGCCTTTCACATAGTTCCTGTCTGAGATTCACAATTCTACCCGTTCACCGATTCCTATCCATGTGAGTTTGTGTGTGGCAAAGCAATGTCCCAAACGGGTGCTTTAGCATTCCTCTCTTGGCCGTAGTTTTCTCGCCTCTTCCTTCCTCCACTTACAAGAGTGCAAGGGAGTAAATGAGTGAGTAGCAACAGCTTTTGGATTAATTGTCATTTCATTATCTCAAGGAGAGCTCAGCCGTGACCAAACTCACGCAGAGCAATTTAGCACTTCGCCAGTCCTGCTGCCGCCCACCCTGAGGGGAGGAGGGAAGCACCTGGCTTAGGGCGCTACCCTGTTTCTTTTCGAACATCTCCCATAAACCCACACTGTTGAACATTACACACACAAGTCAATTAAAAATAGCAAGTCATTTTCTTTCCATGGACCAAAATGTCAGTTAGCCGAACGCAGGAAATAGATGGAATCTATAATCAATCAAGCTAAAAGCAGTTCCTCTCCACCCATGGAAGGTCTGTAAGTGACAAGAATGATGTTGTATCAGCCCCATCAGAGTTCAATGGAGCATGATGGAACATGATTGTTCATTACCATGCTGCTGCTCCAAACTCTAAACTCAAATGAACAGACACTGAAGAGAGTTCACACCATAACACACAGACTCCAGACTTCATTTACCATTACTCATTTTCTCACTCTCTCCATTACAAGCCCTTTTTTTTTTTTTTTTTTTTTTTTTTTTTTTGATGTGGAAATTTGCTTTACTGGAGACTCTTAACTAAGTGAACCTTAGATAAGTTTATTCAATTCAGAGCAAAGGTCGGTGTTTTACAATTATGTCCCTTTTCCTGTAAGTAGAAATACTGCATTCATAATTGGACAAAGTTTATAATTGACTAACGTACATTTAAACACAATATTTTTTGTGCGAATTCTGAGACACAGGAGAGCCTTTGTGTGTCTCTGAGGTAGACATAGCAGTGGTGTTTCATTCCTGAATTAATCCTTTTTTTTCGTATTCTTGTACAAATCATTTGAACAAAAGCTTCAATGACGCAAATACAGTCGATTGTTTTGTTACTGATAGAATGAGCAATTTTGAATGACTCAGAATTAATCAATGACTGACTCATAAAGACTGCATATACTATATGTCACTATACTCATATAAATAAACAGTATCATTAAAAGTTTCATTCATTAATTTATTATTATATTTTTATTGATTTATTTTTTTTTAATAGAAGACTCTTATTCTCACCAAAGCTGCATTTATTTAATCCAAGAACTGCGATATTTTAAAATATTATTAACATTTAAAATAACGAATTTCTATTTTAATATATTTTAAAATGTAATTTACTCCTGCGATGACAAAGCTAAATTCTCAGCAGCCATTACTCCAAAGTCCAGTCTTCAGTGTTGCATGATCCTTCAGAAATCATTTTAATATGCTGATTTGGTGCTAAAAAAAACATTAATTATTATCAATTTTAAAAACAGTTGCGCTGCCTAATATTTTTTGGAAACCATGATACATGTTTTTCAGGATTCTTTGATTAATTTGAAATATATATATTTTTTGTAACAGTGTGAAAGTCTTTACAGTCACTTTTGATAGTATAAAAGGATGTGTGTATAAAAATAAAGTGCTTTTTAAAGTGTGAGAAAACATATGATTAGTAAATAGTGTGCTATAGCGTGCATGATTAAAAAAAAAAGAAAAAGAAAAAAAAAACTCCTAGACCATAATACAGGCAAACATATGTGTACTAGAAGGGACATAGTAATCTAGTAAAAACCAATAGCTTAACCACTGTTGTGCAACAAATGTATTCGCATTTTTCACAGATTATTGCTTACACATTTCTCATATCTGGTGTGTGGAAAATGTCTTTGTGTGAGTGTGTGCGCATGTGGACTGTGTTAGGCTGTATTTATGTCAGTTGGATGATCTTGTGGCCTGTAGAGTGTGACAGTGAGCGGGGTGTTGGATTATTTTTTGCTATCTGCTTCTACGAAAGCCACATGCTGTCCCGATTGCATTGAATCCATGCAGACCAGACGGCTTATTTGTGTGCCCAGAGCAGATTCACTGCTTCAACATACCCTCCATAACCCTCCCTGCCACACACACACACAAAAACATAAGAGAGCCAAAGCGTGATCTAAGGGGGCCGAATGAAATTTAATTTATTAGTATCACTGCTACTGTTGTGGATACTTAGGGTTGGGGGCTTGATGATACCTTAAATCATGCAGTTTGTTGAGGAGAGGAGTGCTGTTACTTTTCTGAGTGCTCAGACTTTTGATTTTTGCCTAGTAGACGATAAAATGGGCAAAAAATTGATTGACTTATAGTGAATATATAGTCATATTTGGAGACCACTATACACTGTATTGACTTGGCAACAACCAAGATCCTCTGCAGTGAAAGGGTGCCATCAGAATTAGAGTTCAAACAGCTGATAAAAACATCACAATAATCAATAAGTAATCCACATAACTCCAGTCCATTTATTAACATATTACAAAGTGAAAAGCTGCGTGTTTGAAAAATCGAATCCATCATTAATGCATTTGAACTCTAAACTGTCGCTTCTGGACAAAATATGAGTCCAAAATTCATAGTAACTCTTCCCCCATTGAAAAAGTCCATCCCGCGTTGTAATTTCACATCAAAATCCACCGACATACGTATTTGTCTAGAACTGTTCTGGACTGTTTTCACTTGTAAACAGTGCTCTATTTGTGCATATTTCTCCCCTGATTCAGACGAGATGGCTTTTTCACTTGAGAAAGCAATATTATAGACAGAGGACCGAAGTTAAAAAGATCTTAATTTTTGATTTTTTTTAAGTACAAACACGCATCTTTTGTGGATTATTGTAATGTTAATGCATTTGAACTCTAAACTGTCGCTTCTGGACAAAATATGAGTCCAAAATTCATAGTAACTCTTCCCCCATTGAAAAAGTCCATCCCGCGTTGTAATTTCACATCAAAATCCACCGACATACGTATTTGTCTAGAACTGTTCTGGACTGTTTTCACTTGTAAACAGTGCTCTATTTGTGCATATTTCTCCCCTGATTCAGACGAGATGGCTTTTTCACTTGAGAAAGCAATATTATAGACAGAGGACCGAAGTTAAAAAGATCTAAATTTTTGATTTTTTTTTAAGTACAAACACGCATCTTTTGTGGATTATTGTAATGTTTTTATCAGCTGTTTGGACTCTCATTCTGACGGCAACCATTCATTGCATGACTTATAGTGAATATATAGTCATATTTGGAGACCACTATACACTGTATTGACTTGGCAACAACCAAGATCCTCTGCAGTGAAAGGGTGCCATCAGAATTAGAGTTCAAACAGCTGATAAAAACATCACAATAATCAATAAGTAATCCACATAACTCCAGTCCATTTATTAACATATTACAAAGTGAAAAGCTGCGTGT